AATGCATGTTTGACTAGATGTTAGATGCAAGTTTTTAAAAAACACATGGAAAGAGAGCTGAAGGTGTTTCAGGCTTTGGAGCGTCTGAGTTGTATTCTGGATTTTTCACGACCACCATGAGGTTTGAGGTTTGAAAACTGAAAGATGCCAGGGCCTCAAATTTCTATCCAGTCCCTTGCTCCTGGATCTGACAACCTGGCTTGGATTTCTAGAGGGTGCAAAAAGTGATCTGAAATGAGGGTGGGGAGAGTGGGGGTGGGGGTGGAAGAGAAAGCTGCAAATGACTCCTGTCCTAGTCCAACCCCCTGCTCAGGCAGGAAACCCTACACCATTTCGGACAAATGGCTGTCCAGTCTCTTCTTAAAAACTCCCAGTGTTGGAGCATTCACCGCTTCTGGAGGCAGGTTGTTCCACTGGCTAATTGTTCTCACTAACAGAAAGTTTCTCCTTAGTTCTAGGTTGCTTCTCTCCTTGACTGGTTTTCATCCATTGCTTCTTGTCCTGCCTTCAGGGGCTTTAGAAAATAGCTTGACTCCTTCTTCTTTGGGGCAGCCCCTGAGATACTGGAAGGCTGCTATCCTTCCCCCCTCGTCCTTCTCTTCATTAATCTAGACATACCCAATTCCAGCAACCGTTCCTTATATGTTTTAGCCTCCAGCCCCCCGATCATCTTTGTTGCTCTTCTCTGCACTCTTTCTAGAGTCTCGACATCTTTTTTACATCGTGGTGACCAAAACTGGATGCCGTATTCCAAGTGTGGCCTTACCAAGGCATTGTAGAGTGGTATTAATACTTCGCGTGATCTTGATTCTATCCCTCTGTTAATGCAGCCTAGCACTGTGTTGGCCTTTTTGGCAGCTGCAGCACACTGCTGGCTCATATTTAAGTGATTGCCCACTAGGACTCCAAGATCCCTCTCACAGTTACTAATATTGAGCAAGGTACCCCCTATACTGGACCTGTGCATTTGGTTTTTCTTGCCTAAATGTAGAACCTTGCTTTTTTCACGGAACTGAAGAACCAAAGAAGCTTCTTGGATGAGGAGTGAAATGTATTCAAGAAAGTTGAGCTGCCTTTTCCAAAAGCACCTTCCGGATTCATTTCCATGTTTTGAGTCATCCTAAATCAAATTCTCTTTGGGCCAAAGCCTTTTTTTTCTTTGCATCCTTTGAGACTCCATAGTGCTGACTCAGCTTATTTTTGTTGGTTTGATGGATCGTATCCCGCCTTTATTATTTTAACAAATAATTTAAGACGGTGAATATGTCCAATATTCCTTCTTCCTTCTATTTTACCCCCAAGAACAACCGTGTGGGGTGGGTTGGGTTGAGAGAGAGAAGGACTGCTTCAAAGTCACTCAATCTGCTTTCTTGTGGCCAGCTGGCCCAGAAGGAAATATCTCTAGTTATAATTTAAGTGGAGGAGACTGATAGTCAAGCAGCCTAGAATCATACAATTGGAAATGTACTTAGAGGTCATCCAGTCCAACCCCGGCTCCGTGTGGGATCCAGATGAGCATCCACTCGCTACTGCCTGAATGCTTATCAAAAGGAAATGGCCTTTTTAAACATTTTGATGGGCCACCTAATAGTAAATAGTCCCTGATTTACAACCGTTTATTTAGCTGTGCATCGGCAGCGGACCAGACTAGAAGATCTCCCAAGTCCCTTCCAGCTTCTATTCTATTCTATTCTATTCTATTCTATTCTATTCTATTCTATTCTATTCTATTCTATTCTATTCTATTCTATTCTATTCTCAATAAAGATTCCATTCTATTCTATTCTGTTCTATTCTGTTCTATTCTGTTCTACTTTCTGTTCGATTCTATTCTATTCTCAATAAAGATTCTATTCTATTCTATTCTATTCTACTCTACTCTATTTTCTATATTCTGTTCTATTCTATTCTACTCTATTTTCTATTTTCTATTCTATTCTATTCTATTCTATTCTCAATAAAGATTCTATTCTATTCTATTCTATTCCATTCTATTCTATTCTACTCTATTTTCTATTCTATTCTACTATTCAATTCTATTCTACTCTACTCTATATTCTATTTTCAATTCTATTCTGTTCTATTCTATTCTCAATAAAGATTCTATTCTATTTTGTTCTGTTCTGTTCTGTTCTACTCTACTCTACTCTATTGTATTTTCTATTCTATTCTCAATAAAGATTCTATTCTATTCTACTCTACTCTACTCTACTCTATTCTATCTTCTCTTCTCTTCTCTTCTCTTCCCTTCCCTTCCCTTCCATTCTATTCTATTCTATGACCGTCGCTTTTTCCCAAGAGGATTACATAATCATAATTCGGACACCTGGCAACTGACTCATATATATGACGGTTGCAGTGTCCCGAGGTTACACAATCCCCTTTTGCGACCTCCTCACAAGCAAAGTCAGTGGGGGGGGAACCAGATTCACTTAATCACCGGGTTACTAACTTATCAACTTCAGTGGTTCACTTAACAACTGAGGCAGGAAAGGTCGTAAAATGGGGGAAGTCTCACTTCACAACCGAAATATTGGGCTTCATTTGGGGCCAAAAGTCAAGGATTGCCTGCATATAGAAGTGCTTGTATTAAATGACATTATTCGGGAAGATCCAGAACTAGAATGATATAGGCGTCAAAGAGGAGGAGGAGGAGGAGGAGGAGGAGGAGGAGGAGGAGGAGGATTTAGCAGAGCAATTGATATTAGTTTTAAAAATAGTTTTAAAAAAATGCAATTTAAGAGGAGAGAAGCAACCTAGAACTAAGGAGAAACTTCCTGACAGTGAGAACAATTAATCAGTGGAACTCCTTGCCTCCAGAAGCGGTGAATGCTCCAACACTGGAAGTTTTTAAGAAGAGACTGGACAGCCATTTGTCCGAAATGGTGTAGGGTTTCCTGCCTGAGCAGGGGGTTGGACTAGATGACCTCCAAGGTCCCTTCCAGAATGATGATGATGATGATGATAATGATAATAACAATGATGATGATGATAATGATAATGATGATGATAATGATAATAATGATAATGATGATAATGATGATGGGAAGGGATCTTGGAGGTCATCTAGTCCAAGCCATTGCTCAGGCAGGAATCATTATCATCATTATCATCATCATTATCATCATCATCATTATCATCATCATCATTATTATTATCATTATTATCATCATCATTATCATTATCATCATCATCATCATTATTATTATCATTATCATCATCATTATTATCATCATCATCATCATCATCATCATCATTATTATAAGAGTTACTTTGTCAATTAAATATAATCCAGAGAGAAACTGCCGTCCCTCCGGAAGCCTTTCTCCGTTGTCTTAGACAACTGACTGTTGTGTCGGTAGTCCTCGACTTACGATACACAATTAAGCCTGAAGTTTCCGTTGCTAAATGAGACGTTCGTTAAGTCTTGTTTTACATCAAATGCCGTTAAGTGAGACATTTGTGAAGTGCGCTTTGCTCTTAATTTTACGGGCTTTCTTGCCACAGCTGTTAAGTGAATCACGGCGGGTGTTAAATTAGCCAGGCGGTCGTTAAGTGGATCTGGCTTCCCCCACTGACTTGGCTTGGCAGAAGGTCGCCCAAGGGGATCACGTGATCCCCCGGGACCTTGCGACCATCGTAAATACGAGTCGGTGGCCAAGCGTCTGAATTTTGCACGCGTGACCAAGGGGAAGCTGCAGCAGTCCCCAGGGCGAACAACGGCCATGTTCAGCAACTTTTCCCAGTGCCGTCGTAACTTCAAACGGTCACTAAACGGACTGTTGTAAATTGAGGACGCCCCGGCGAGACCCGTCCCCATCAAAATGAAAGTCTCCAATGACTTTTCCTGCTGGAAAGTTGCAGGCGTTGGAGACCGGAAGGCGTGAACGGGACACACACACACACACACACACACACACGTTTGGTGGAAGCCATGGTTCGCTTTTCACAACCCTCAAGCAGTCTGCTGAGGTGTGCAGCCAGCCACAAATCCAGATTTTTTTTCCTTTTTCCTCCGTTGGGTGTGAAACCCGCCCTCCGAATCTGGCACAATGGTAGGTGTGGAAACAGCTGCTCCCGGGGTGCGCCTGAGAACGTGGGAAGCCACGCGCTGGGTGTTTGCGCGCCACGTGGACGTCGGGGTGGATTTGCTGGGCGCCGGAGAGTCGTGGTTTGTGACAGAGGGCGATGTGTCATGCTGTGAGGCAGGGGTGGGGTGGGGGGCTTGTTGTGACAAATGCCACAAGGAAAAGTGTTGCACGAGACTGTGGCTGCAAGGGAGCAGCCTGCGGAGAGAGGAAACTGGTGTTGGTGAGGACTTGCAGCTAGGGAAATTGCGTCCCTCGTACTCAGGTGTGCAGACCCAAAGCAGCCAGGCAGGAAGGGGTGGTCCAGGTGTGTGTGGATGTGTGTGTGTACAGTTGTGCACTGGTGATGGCTAGGAGATGCGTGGGACCTTTGACGTGAAGCGGAAGCCTGGAAAAACAAAACCCAAGTCCAATTTGCATCCTAAATCGGCCTCTTGCCTTCTTGACTTCTGGAGATCTCCCAGTGGTCTCCTCTCCAAAGGAAACACCCAGGCTGGAAGGGGCCTGAGGCCCCAGTGAAGGCCTTTGGGGTTCAAACTCCTGGCTGAACAGCAGGAGAAGGACGGGAGGAAGCGGAGAGGCATCCAGGTAGATTCAAAGTCACTTTTGAGGGGAGGGGGTTGCCTCTGCTTCTGCATTCCTTGCTGCCTTGGTGGGGGAGGGGGGAGAAAGGGAGGGCCACGTACGCCGTGGGCACTGGAGGGGGTGGGAGGCTGGTTGTGGTTGCGATGTTTCCTTCAGCAATGTGTTGGTGATGCTTGTTTTCTCTTCCCCTCCTGTCGTCCCCTTTTTTTCTCTCTCTGTCTCTTCCCCCCCTTGTGTGCCCGTGTGTCTTTCTCTCTCTCTCTCTCTCTCTCTATGTGTCTCTCTCCCCCCTCTGCACTCGCTTCCCCCTCCTCCCTCCTTTCACAGACCCTCCTCCTCCTCCTCCATCACCACCTCCTCCTCCTCTTCTTCCTCTTTCTCTCTATCTCAGCTTGGCGCCTGGTCCTGGAGGGGCTGCCGAACCGTCCCCGTGGATCCCTTCCGAACCAAATGCTTCTGTGACCGAGTCTCTACCTTCGCCATCTTAGCCCAGATTGCTGCTGACATGGTAAGTGCCTGCCAAAGGAGCATCTCTGCCAGCTAGCCAGCCAGAGCGGGAGACGAACCCTGAGCTTCGTATGCCCAAAAATGTAGAGGAGGGATAGAAAAAAAGAAAGAAAGAAAAAGGGAGGAAGAAAAAGAAGAAGAAAAGAAAGACGGTCCAGCCTGTGACATTTCCAGCTCGCTCAGTGCACGCCTGCATGTGGCAGAGTTGGGGTGTGTGTCTCTCTCTGTCTCTCTCACTCTCTCTCTCTCTCTCTCTCTTGGCGGGTGCATCGTAAAGCTTCGCGTGTCGGGGCGACCGTGACTGCATGCATGCTCCAGCTTAGCTAGAGAAAAGCCAGCCTTGCACATCTCCCAGCCGTGCATCGGCAGCCTTGCACAATCTTGCACCTTGTGAGGCGCGTTATCTCCAGGAGAGGCCAACCCCCTTCCCCTGCTCTCTTTGAGAACCGGTGACCTGAATAATCGCTGGGGGGATCCTGACTGCATTCAAATGTTATATTTCCCTTCGGTGGGGCCCAGCCTCTGCCTTTTTGACCCCTGTTCTCAGCAACGTCTGGGCTCCTGGGACCGGTGGGTGGGCTGGGGGCTGGCTTTGCTTGGTGGGGGGGAGGGTTGCAAATGGGGTCAGGCAGCGCTGAGATGCTTGGAGGGGCTCCGGGTGTCCAGGCCTGGTTTGTGAGATTTGCAGCAGACCGGTTGGAGGATGGAGCTGGCCTCCTTGATCCGTTGGAAGGAGGGCTGGGAGTTTAACTCCTTCTCCACCAGCTGGCCGGCGTCCAGCTTCAACTTCAACATTTGGCTCCAACAATCTGAGATACTTTTGGTGGTCTGTAAGGTCTGGAGGCCTTCTTCACCCTCTACACCATTTTTGGGGGTGGGGTGTGAGGTGCAAGCTTTGGTCTGGCCCCAAAGAACGGAAGTTTTGATGTAGATTTTGCCCAGATGTGTCTTTCCAGGAATGGTGGGAATCTGTGTAGAAAGTTGGGGCAGAATATTATTCAAGAATATTGCAATAGAATAGAGCTGGAAGGGACCTTGGAGGTCTTCTAGTCCAGCCCGCTGCTAAAGCAGGAGAAACTATACCATTTCAGACAAGTGACCGTCCAGTCTCTTCTTAAAAACTTCCAGCGTTGGAGCATTTACCGCTTCTGGAGGCAGGTTGTTCCACTGGTTAATTGTTCTTACTATCAGGAAGTTTCTCCTTAGTTCTAGGTTGCTTCTCTCCTTGATTAGTTTCCATCCTTTGCTTCTTGTCCTGCTTTTGGGTGACTTTGGAGAACAGCTTGACTCCCTCTTCTTTGGGGCAGCCCCTGAGATATTGGAAGACTGCTATCCTGTCCCCCCTTGTCCTTCTCTTCGTTAAACTAGACAGACCCAATTCAATCAACTGTTCCTTATAAGTTTTAGCCTCCAGATCTCTTAATCATCTTTGTTGCTCTTCTCTGTACTCTTTCCAGAGTCTCAACATCTTTTTTACTTTGTGGTGACCAAAAATGCAGTATTCCAGGTTGCTTCTCTCTTTGGTCATTTTCCAACCATCGTTTCTTGTCCTGCCTTCAGATGCTTTGGAGAATAATTTCACCCCCTCTTCTTTGGGGCAGGCCCTCAAACACTGGAAGACTACTCTCATGTCACCCCTATTTTCTTTAGACTTAGCTAGCCAAACCCCAAACCCTGCAGCCCTTCTTTGTAGGTTTTAGGAACGCAAATGGTTAAAACTGGCTTTGTCAAGATCAGAAGTCTGGGCGAAAGAATGTAGATAATGGATTTTTGGGTTGGTTGGCTTGTTTCTCTAAAGGTTAGCTTCATTTCTGGATTTAGAAAAGTCAGCTGCTTGTTCTGGGTCAAGTTAAAAAATTGCCCCTCTCCATCCGACATCCCTCGGGCGGCTCTCGGCTTCCCCCCCCCCCCCCCCATCCTTCTGGGTTGAGCTCCTGGAAGTCCTTTTGAGATTCTCCTCTTTGTTTCTTCTCCCCAACCAGGAAAGGCAAAGAGAAGATCGTGGGGATGGGCAAATGGAGGTTTCCTGGTAAAAGGCAGGTTTATTATTAGAAACACTAATGTATTTGGTCCACTAGTTGCCATGGAAACATCTGCACTGAAGTGGCTTTCGAAGTACAAGGGTGTCTAAGCTGGCAGGAGGCCCAAAGAATTGGGGCAGGAGAAGATCTGAAAGGGTGGTGGGCAAGATGGTTGTCCACAGTGGGGAACTGTCACATCGTCCAAACCACCAAGTTATCCCGTTTCTCGGCGGCGAAGGAAGGAGGGAGGGAGGGGACCGTTATCTAAGTAAACAAGGTTTGGCCAACGTGGTCATCAGTTGGTCATGATCCAAGTGCTCTCCAAGTCAATGTTTTTTCTGCCCTTCATTCTTCACGTCCATCTTCACCAAGTTGACGTCCGCCAAGAACTCCCAATTGTTTGGAGGCCTCCCCACTTCTAGAAGGCACCCGGACAATTTAACCTACAACTCCCTCTTCCTCAATCTTATTTCCTCCTCTCTTTTTCCTCTTGGTTCATCTAAACCCTGGCTTATCATTGCGGGAATAAGCCATGATCCGGCTGTGGCTTAGATTGCTCCTCTGTTCTCCATCTGCTTCCCAAAGTGGAGAAGTTTATTTTTTTTTCTCTCTCTCTTTTTGTTATATATCAGAACGGGTTGTGTTGCCTGAACTGAGACAAAGTGTGTCTCTTCTCTTAACGATGATTTGTTGCAATAAACCAAGGTTCAGGTTGAAGCTGGCTTATTGTGGGTCATTTAAGGTTTACTTATGTTAAGTCTCCTTCAAGTCCAGCAAGTTTGGACAAAAAGGTTTATGGGCAGAAATGGGAAGAATAACAGAATAACAAAGTTGGAAGGGACCTTGGAGGTCTTCTAGTCTAACCCCCTGCTTGGACAAGAGACAGGTGATTGTCCAGTCTCTTCTTAAAAACCTCCAGTGATGGAGCGCCCACAATTTCTGGAGGCAAGCTGTTCCACTGGTTGATTGTCCTCACTGTTAGGAAATTTCTCCTTAATTCCTGGTTGCTTCTCTCTTTGGTCAGTTTCCAACCATTGTTTCTTGTCCTTCCCTTTGATGCTTTGGAGAATAGTTTGACTCCCTCTTCTTTGTGGCAGCCCCTCAGATACTGGAACACTGCTATCATGTCACCTCTGTTTCTTCTTTCCTTTAGACTAGCCAAACCCAAGTCCCGCAGCCGTTCTTCATATGTTTTAGTCTCCAGGCCTTTGATCATCTTTGTTGCTCTTCTCTGATTTTTTTTTCCAAACTCTCAACATCTTTTTTGTGATATGGTGACCAAAATTGGCTGCAGTATTCCAGGTGTGGCCTCACTGGGGTTTTATAAAGCGGTACTAGTATTTCACGTGATCTTGATTCTATGCCTCTGTTTAAACAACCCAGGATTGTGTTAGCTTTTTTGGCTGCTGCTGCACACAGCTGACTCATAGTCAAGTGATCGTCCACTAGGACTCTAAGGTGCCTCTCACTGTTACTGTTTTTAAACCAGGTCTCGCCCAGTCTGTATTTGTGCCTTTGGTTTTTCCTGCCTAAATGTAAGACGTTGCTTTTTCTCTTGATCGAAGGTGATTTTAGTCAGTTACATTCTGTTTGTTTTATCCAATTATTTGCAGCTTTCTATCTAAAGCATAAGTATGAGTTTTCTCAATCTGCATTGAACAGTTGGGATAAAGGAGTGTCTTCTTGTTGTTGTTAGTTGCAAAGTCACGTCCGACCCATCGCGACCCCATGGACAACGTTCCTCCAGGCCTTCCTGTCCTCTACCATCTTCTGAAGTCCAGGCCTACTCCTTCAGTGACTCCATCCAGCCACCTCCTTCTCTGTTGTCCCCTTCTTCTCTTGCCCTCCATCTTTCCCAGCATTAGGCTCTTCTCCAGGGAGTCCTTCCTTCTCATTAGGTGGCCAAAGGACTTGAGTTTCAACTTCAGGATCTGGCCTTCTAAAGAGCAGTCGGGGTTGATCTCCTCCAGGACTGACCGGTTTGATCGCCTTACAGTCCAGGGGACTCGCAGGAGTCTTCTCCAGCACCATAGTTCAAAGGCCCCATGGACAGTACCAAAAGGCAAAAGGGGGTGTCTAGTACACCCCAATGCCCATTAAATCCCAAATTGCATTACTGGTTGCAGTTGTTGTCATTTGTCATTACAGGGACTCCTTGAATTATGACAATTTGTTTAGCAGCCTTTCCAAGCTGGTAACCACCCAAATTTTGAATCACCTAAACACAGGAATATTTCCATGATTAGGAGTGCAACGACCAACCATAACCCCCTTTTTTTCCAATGCCTTTGTAACTTTCGATGGTCATTAAATGAATGATTATAAGTTGAGGACTGCCTATATAATCCGAGTGGCTGCAAACGATGTGAAATTATTTGTTAGGTTAATGAAAACGACTCTCTTCGAATAGAATTTTTTGGCTAGAGATGATTTGTCTAATATTTTGAAATAGGTGTGGACAGAAATGTGGTCCGATAAAAATGTGCTAAACGGGGTTACAGGTAATCTTTGACTTATCGCCACAATTGAGCCCAAAATTCTTGTTGTTAATTGAGACAATTGGTAGGTGAGTTTTGCCCCATTTTACAGGCTTACAACAGTTTGTTTCGTGTCTGTTCGAAATTACGACGGCACTAAAAAAATGACTTATAATCGTTTTTCACATTTACTGTATGGCCGCTGAAGCATCCCTCATGGTCACGTGATGTGCGGCAATGGATTCGTATTTATGATGGGATCCTCTTTTGCGACCTTCTGACGAACAGAGTCAATTGGGAAGCCAGATTCACTTAACAACCGTGTGACTAACTTAACAACTGCAGCGATTTGCTTAACTACGGAGGCAAGAAAGTTTCATAAAACGGGGCAAAAAAAATTACTAAACAAACGTCTCAGCTAGTGACATAAATTTCAGGCTCCGTGGTGGTCGTTAAGCTGAGGACCATCTGTACTACTTCTCTTGCAACATTTGTGAATAGAA